TTAATCCTGTGGTCAGCTGGTGACTGCTAGAATTTCCTTTAAACGAGCTCGAGTTAATAATAAATTGCAAAAGTTAGGTCATATCCAGGTAGTGTTATTTTCAGATGTTCTGAACTTTGTGATAAACCAAAAGAAAATTACAGTCGACTCCCGATAACTCGAACCTGCAAGGGAAATTGAAAAAGGTTTGAATTATCGGGAGTCTTGAACAAATGAATGGAAATAAGGAAAAAACGGTATGTAATGTTTTTCTATTCATGCAGTGTACATTTTAATCAAATTTAATTACAGAATAGAGAAGTCGAGTGAAAATAAAACAATACATCTCTTAAGTACTGTATAAATCGGAACGGAAGGTAATGTGAAAAATGCAACAAAGCAAAGCAGCAGGGAGAAGTCCAGGAATATTGTGAACAGTACAGGTTTTTTGAACAATGTCGGTCTACTGGTACAAAGCTCATGCGAGTTACATTTTCAAAGTTCATGCGATTTCCTTTTTCTATTCTTGCAATGTATATTTGAATCAAATTTAATTACACAGTTGTCGGGAATTTGGTCTACGCCGACAAAGGAAGCTCACGTTATTTTAACAAACTGGTTTAATCTCACTTCTCCCTGTCTAGAACTCTCTCTTGAAAACTCGAAGACGATTCATACATGTGCGATAGTTCAAAGTTCAGCGATCACGCGCACGGTGCACGTGACAATCAACACAACGATCAACTAATGCAACGCAATACAATTTTCCGGTCGCGACACAGTATGGCTGGTTTACAGTGTCACACCATCAACAATAAAAATCATAACAATTCAATAAATTAAGTCAAGAAGCTGGGATATGAAAGATGATTGATATATAAACAACCTCGCCAGGATTTAGGTCTGCGCAGTTTTTCATTCTCCCGTTATTCGGAGAAGTGTTTCACTCAAGTTTATAGAGCTTTGTATGAAATCGCCATGTTTGTGCCCCTCGGAGGGAGACAAACATGGCGGCCGTGGAGTAACAGAAACATCTGTCATCGAGTTTTGCCACTGAAACGAAAAGTTGGTACTCTAGAGCTCCGAAACATTGAAATGAACACTTTTTAAAGAGCAACAACCGATTAGTTTGCAAAAACTTGAGCAATAACTCATCTTTTGACTACTCGAGAGCCTTATCGGGCCGCCTTTTTAATGTCACGCAACGCATAAATTTGGAAATTCAAAAACGTGCTTTATTACATAATGAGAACCCTGTCGAGCTTAAACGTTGCAAAACATCAAGTTATTAAAGGGTCTTACATCTGATGAAACTAAAACATCAGAAGGATTGGTAATTTCTTATTTTGAAAAATGATGACGTCACATGAATACATTTCTCAGTTTCGTATAAACTGAACTGACACGTTTTGTGCAATGTAAAAGAAAGGAAAAAGTTCACACGGCTGCTTCAAAATAAATTTAATGCTTTGGACTACAGTACACCGTTTGTTTTGACTTGTCACGTATTGACAGACGTGGTTCGAGTTATCGAGGGTAAAATTATACAGAAAATGACCTAAAGGGAAACGAAAATTGCTTCGAGTTAGCGGGGGGTTCGAGTTATCGAGGGTGCGAGTTAGCGAGGGTAAAATTACAGTAACTGTAAGACGGAAATCCAGGAGAAATCGATTTTGGTTCGAGTTAGCGAGGGTTTGAGTAACTGATACTTAAAATGGGTAATTTATATTATTACAATAACTTCCGAAATTTTCATTGTCAGTAAGCGGACAGACACATGAATTTATAATTTGCGCGATAATTTATTGTAAAAACAAATTGATGTCAGTTTTTTATGTGTCTGTCCTGTTATTGACAATGAATTTCGTCGTAGCATTGTCAAAGTAGTTTGCGGATCCACGAGGAGATAGCCGAGTAGATCCACAGCTACTTTGACAATGTTATGACAAATTCATGATCAGTAACAGGACAGACGCATGAAAAACTGACATCAATTTGTTAAACAGCAAAGTAATTTACGACAAGTCTGTTTTACAGCCTCCCTGATCTCACATACTCGCCAGCAACACAAAAATGGATTTAAAGAAGAGCTAATGAACACAATAGTTGAAGTCAGGGATCTTGCGATTAGTATATGCATTGGATTAACTGAAGTCACTACGTAGAAAACAACTACATAAGGGCTATAACAGATGATGAGAACAAGAAAAACGATGAAATTATTGAATGCAGACTTTTTTAGGCTTGTCACTTTGTTAACATGCCCAGTGTTTGTTTCAACCGCCAGGAACTGAAGTTGAATTGCATTTTGATGATACCGAACTGTTTTGTATATTTTTACGTGACAAATAGTTGAGATGCACAGGCAAGCACATATTACAGTTCCAAGTGAAATCAACAGAATCTTTTCCTGCCAGAAACACGCGCCTGCTAAAATGAAACAAATTGACCAGATGGCGACAAGAACGCGTCTTACGCGAGGAATTGTCACAATACTTGGATAAAGTAAGGACTTTACAACGGCAATCAATCTGTCGACACCAATTGCTGTGACTGTACAAAGAGAAATTCCACATAAAGAGAAACCAAACGCGTCGTAAATACCCAGGAATACTCGTTTGAGCCTTTGGGATCGGGAATACACTGTTATTAAATCGTTTGCGATGAAAAGTGGCTGTACGACTGTGCCAACAGCCAGATCGGACATCGCCAGACCACACAGTAAAACTAAGGACGGTGATCGAAGAGTCGGTGATTTCCTCGCCACATGCAACACTAGTGAGTTCCCAATTATCGCCGTTAAAGCGAGAGGAACATTTACAGCGCAGTTTACCA